TTTTGTGAACTTGGATTTTTTATTTCTTTTCTTTTTTTTTTTTTTTTTTGGAGAGTTTTTTGTTTGTTATAGGGTGTTGTGCACTTGCCAGACAGACAGAGACAGAGAGACAGAAAGCAAGAAATCACCCAGGGGGATGGCCACACCACAATCCCTTCTTCTCTAGTCTACCCTCGACATCTTGGGCACGCATGCACACACGCCTGGTGTGAGTTTTAAGCCACCAGGTCCAGGACTTGAACCAGGGTTGACTACATGGGAGTCCAGTGACATAGCTATTATGCTAACTACGGGTCCCAATTTCTTTTTTTAAATTGCCAGAGAACACATGTCCTCACCGCAGAGAGACAGTTGAGAAAGAGGGAAAACCATCCCAATGGGGCATCTTCATGCTGCAACGTGTTTCCCCTCGTTTCTCCACCCTGCTGGGAGTTGAGTACGTATACAACCTCAGCATGTTTTTCAAGCCATCAGGACCAGGATTCCAAACACAACTGGTCATGTTGGATCTGGCTCCCTCAGCCACCAACCAGTCTACAAGACTGACCTTACAAGTGCTGAACTTCCAACAGAGTGTGGGTTAGAATGCATAAAGAGAGTCAATAGTGAGAAAACTGATAATTCCACTTTTTTTATAATGCTGATAATTCCTATTTAAAAATGCAATTTTGGGGGACCAGCAGTTAGCGTAATGGCTATGTCGCTGGACTCCCACGTAGTTGACAGCAGTTTAGGTCCCGGAACCTGTGGCTTAAACTCACGCCAGGCACGTGTGTGCGCATGCTCAAGATCCCAAGAGGAGAATCGAGGAGAAGGGATTGCAGTGTTGCCATCCCCCCTGGGTGGTGATTTCTCGCTTTCTGTCTGTCTGTCTCTTTCTAGCAAGCGCACACGCCCTATGGCGAAAACCTCTCCAAAAAAAAGAAAAAAAAAATACAACTTTTGGCCATCGCCCATCACTTGTTTTTCTAGAATATCCATAAATTACGTAATTTTTTAGGAAAAAAAACTACTTTTTGCAATTTTCTGAGTTCTTAAAAATACAAATGCTTCTCAAACTATCTGTGGCAAAGAATTTTTTAAAAAGTATCTCTTTTACTGCAAATTATATTTTTATAAAATGCAGCAAACATGAAAAAATAGAAAAGACTAAATTTAAATCTCAATTTTTAATTACTATTAGATTCAACTGATATTAGATTACTCAGTCAAATTTTATAAATGTTTCTTTTTTTAAAAAAAAAAATGTACGAGAGGGTCCATGTGCTCTCCAGAGAAAGAGAAAAATTGAGAAGGCACCTGCGTGGGAGAATGGTCATGCCACAATCTTTTCTGTTCTATAACTTTCTCCTTTGAAGATTTGGGGCAAGCACATACATGTACTTGGAGTATTTCTCAACTGCCAGGTCTGGGACCCAAATTGTTGTTGGCCATGTAAGATCCAGCCCCCTTAAACCATGCCACAGGCTAGTGTACTACGAAAGTTTTTAAAAGTTGATTCTCAATCATTGTACTTATTCTGTCATAGGCCAGGGTCTTGCGGTTCACTCACTGACATCTCACCATTTTGGACCTGACATATCATCTTCCATGGTTCATACCTACATGATCTAGTCACACCTTCTGCTTTATGCTTGTCTTACTTGGGTTTAGGCAGGCATGTTTTATGAAGATGAAAGTTAACAGTGGAGGGAACGGTTATTGTCTGAGATGGACTTTATTGTATTCGAGGAGGGCAGGGTATTGAATTCAGTTAGTAGAAATAAAATGAGTAAATAATTAATAGTGTAAAAATAACAATGCTTTTGGAGAGATAGTCAAAACAAGGAGAGATAGTCAAAATAGCAGTTAGTGTAATGGCTATGTCTCTGGACTCCCATGTAGTTGACCGTGGTTCATGTCCTGGACCTGGTGGCTTAAAACTCATGCCGGGCACATGTGCGTGCGTGCCCAAGATCCCGAGAGGAGAACGGAGGAGAGGGGATTGCAGCGTGGCCATCCCACCTGAGGGGTGATTTCTCACTTTCTATCTCTCTGTCTCTGTCTGGCGAGCGCACGCACCCTATAGCAAAAACCTCTCAAAAAAAAAAAAAAAAGAACACACAGTGGGCATGAGTGTAAGCATGCCCAAAATGCTGAAAGGAGAATGAAAGAGAAGGAACGGTGGTGTGGCCAATTCCCCGAGGAGTGCTTTTTTAATTTTTCTCTCTTTCTTTCTGTCTCTCCAGCAAGTGCATATACTGTATAGCAATTTTAAAAAATTAATAATAGTATAAGTGGACCGCACATATGGCTCTGTGGAAATTACCCAATTTGTAGAAAGGCTAGATTTGATGTAATCTAAGGTCCTATACATAATTAAAATTCCATCTTTTTTTTTTAAAGAATTAGTCATTCAATTTTATTTATTCATTCATTTATTTTAATTTGACCAGAGAGAGATAGACAGAGAGAGAGAGAGAGAGAGAGAGAGCAGAGGGAAAGTGGGAAAGCAAGCCGCCAGATCCGGGACTCGAACCGTGGTCGGCCATGTGGGAATGGAAGAGATGATTGTTTTGGTTACTGTTGCTATGAAACAGACTACTTCAAATGAGTGGCTTGGAATAAACATTTTTCTATG